TTGTCCTTAATTCCTTGTCTCCAATGAAATTACGGAAAAAAATATTTAATTTCAATTCTAAAATGTACACATACTTACCTCACTTATCCAGTCAATCGACAAGCAATTGAAGAGAAATTACTCCACATACTTAAACGCATAAACTTCGAAAATTAGTTCTTTCGTAAAAGTCGGTGAACGCCAAACTGACAAGCGAGCTCAGGGTTCGAAATTCAACTCTACTATTACTGAATAACCCCTACCATATAGTAAGTGATCGTCTGCGTCGTCAACGCGTAGGCGGTGTGGCGGCAGCTTGGTGGTATGCAGGTACGCCGCCTCTGTCCCCGCAAACCCCCTCGCCCACAAGCCATCAGCAAGCTGTAGCGCGAAAACTAAGCAATTTAGCGAAAAATTTGTAGAGACCTTTATTGATGGCCCAAAAATTAGAAAAATTTGCGTGTAAAAAAATCCCAGATATCCTCAGCCGTTTCAGCGAAAAAGAGGTTTTTCGGGTTTTTCGCTGATTTACAAAAAACGGCTGGTTTCCGGAAAACCAAATTCATACAACAATATTCGCAATCCTTCATTACACCATTACGCCAGCGGAAATAACTTTGTGGCTATGTTATCACTTTTGTCTCAGTTTCGGCTATTTAACTGGACTAATGGCTTCGAGAAGGCCGTACGCAAAGAGCAAGGGGCACTGGACGCCGCCGTAGAACAACAGACCGTGAAGATCGCCGCCTAAGATTATTGGCCTTAAGGGACCGTTTCTCCACTACCAGGTCCATTGCAAATGAATGGTTTGCAGAACACGGAAGATCTATTGGCATGCGAAGTGTTTACCGACGAATGAGAAGTTTTGGCTTGTTTTCATACCGGCCACACTGGGTCTTCCTTTTAACTCGAGAACACCGACGTAATCGCCTTGAGTGGTGCAGACAACGGTCACTCTGGGATCAGGAATGGAACAGTATTGTCTTTAGTGACGAGTCTCGATTTTGTTTAGGCATGCACGATGGTCGTGCCAGGGTTAGAAGGCGACATGGTGAAAGGAGGAATCCACAGTTTTTTGTTGAAAGTCATGTCCATCACACTGTTGGAGTTATGGTTTGGGGTGCTATAGCTTAAGGTTCCAGGTCACCTTTAATCGTCATCAGAGGTAACATGAACGCGCAGCGTTATATCCACGAAGTTCTAGAACCCCATCTTTTGACACCCTGGCAGATCCAACTTTCCAACAAGATAATGCCCGACCACATGTTGCAAGAGTCACAATAGACTTCTTTCAACATAATGATGTCACATTGTTACCATGGCCACCAAGATCTTCCGACTTATCCCCAATTGAGCACGTGTGGGATATGATGGGTAAGAGATTGCTCAATTTGCAACGTCCTCCTCAGACTCTAGAAGCACTTCGAGAGGAGTTGGTGGTTGCCTGGAATGAGATACCACAGGAGGACATTGACCACCTGATCAGAAGCATGCCTAGGAGCGTTGGAGAATGCGTAGCACGTCAGGGTGCATCCACACATTATTAAAGGTCAAAGCAGTGCAATCATTTTGAAATGTTTATCATTTACTTATTATGCTTCATTAAGTACTTATACAAAATTTTATTAAAATAAAACCATTTAAACTGGGTGTTCGGATTTATATGTCACTTAGTATATTAATGAAAGGCTTCACGTCTGCATCTGTACAAGGTGTTTTCAAAGTTGAATCATTTATTTTAACAGCTTGTAGAGCTCGTCCACAAAAGTTGATATACCAAAAATCACCTATATAAAAGAGTTAGTTTGCATTAAAAATTATTTAAAAAATCATTCTCAAGTTAAATGGATACAAAAACTGTTCAAAACTGTCCCGATTTGTTCGATTATCGCAAAATCTTGTTCGGTGAATCCACGACTCTTTACAAGCTTTGAAAATAAAATCCTAGTGTGCACGAATTAAATCAAGCATTTTCAGTGCGCTGTTGAAGTTCTTCCAGAGTATTTACTGCTCCATCATGATACACCAACTCTTTCAAATCGGCCTACAGCCTAAATCCGGGGAGTGAGCAGGCCAAGAAATGGGTAGATTGCACCCTATCCTTCTATTCCGAAACTCATTATTTAGATGTTCATGAACGTCTCGTCCAGAATGTGGTGGAGCTCTATCATGTAAGAACCACATATTCTGTCTCACATTTAGAGGAGTCGTATTTAGTATTAGTATATAATTATTCATAATGTTTAAATGGCTTTTAACTATTGTTTTCTGGAAAAAAATGATCCAAGATCAATGGCAAACCTAGAGTGGTATATAGTGATTCCAGGTTAAAGAAGTGTAAAAATAGATTGGACATAATTTTGGCATCAAGTCGAGTTGACGTTGATTATAAATAAAATTAGAAAACCGTGAAACGGGAATATATTTTATTAATGTACGGAGAGAAGGCTACGAAAATAAAATCGCACAGAAAATAAAACTAACTGCATGTGGTAAAGGATCACGCAACACGCTAGGGAAAAATGGTTTCGGTTAATTTCGCTGTATTTTTTATATGTTATTCGTTTTGGCATCTCGAACAAATGTTTCAATGGGCACAAGCCCCCAACCTCAACGGGTCCCAAAATATAGGCAATCCAAGTCAATGGGGTATCAGCCCTACTCCAATATCTGCTTCAAGTAGAAAACGGGTTTCAGTTAATTTCGCTAAACTTTTCATATGTTATGTTTCTCGGTAACCTGAACAAATGCATTAATGGGCACAGGCCCCAAGACCCAGCGGGTCCTAAGATATTGATCATTGATGTCAGTATAATTGGGATGCGGTAAAGTGGGAGAGTGGTTTCGGCCAATTTCGCGCAATTTTTCATATGTTATGTGTCTCGAAGTCCTGAACAAATTCCTCAATGGGCATAGGCGCCAAAACTCATTGGGCTCTAAGATATAGGCTGTCCAAGTCAGTATAATGTGGTATCGATTTAACTCGAACGTCTCATGTTTCCATCCTTCTCAAACTTTTTCCCACTGATGATGTTTGTCAACTTTCAAATAAAGTAAAAAATAAACATACTGGTGGTATAGATGGAATTCCAAATAGTATCGTTAAGATGGCTATTCCTATAATAAAAAACAGTTCCCTTAAGCAATGAATCTTATCAGATCAGTTAAGAATAGCTGTTATCAAGCCAGTATATAAAAATGGGGAAAACTACAGACCATTAAGCCTTCTCCCTGCATCTTCAAAATTCTTTGAACTTGGCATGTGTCAAACACTCACTGACTTTCTGAAAGAGAGCCAGATCTTGAACGCCTATCACCACGGTTATATGACTGGTAGATCTACAAAGACAGCCATACTTGATTTCACTACATAGATTTTGCAAATTCTAGAAAGAGGTGATATGGGCGATGGAATAGCATATGACTGAATCCAAGTTTATTATTAGAAAAACTAAATTTATATGGTGTTCGGGGAAATTCGTTAAAATGTAATACCGTTACAAATAGCCAACAGAGATTAAAAATTACTAGAAATGATAAAACATACATGTCAACATGTTAAGACTTGTAGGAACTAATTTAGGCATTGCTCAGGGCAATATTGCAGGGCCATTATTATATATAATTTTCCTTAACGACCTTGTTTCCATAGTAGAATCAGAGAATGAGTTTATCACATGCTATGCTGACGATACTAATCTACTTACAGGAGGAGACATACTGAAATTATGAGGAGATTAGGAACACAAATATTTGAAAAGGCTGGTGAGTGGTTCGCAGCGAATAAATTAATATTAAACACAAATAAAACAAGCGTAGTAATCTTCAGAACAAGAGAGTCAAATGCTATCATAAACATAAAACTAGATCAAATGACAATGAAAATATCAGACAAATCATGATATTTAAACGAATGTTTAAACTGGACATATCACATAAAATGTTTGTCTCGGAAACGGAATAGCCTATGTTATGGGATCAGGGTCGTTGGGAAATATATAAACGAAAAAGCTTTGAAAAGCCTTTATTTATTATATTTAAGGCGCACGCGTGTATCTTTATATGTTTAAATAGCCAGGCTGTTCACATTGAACTTGTGAGCTGCTTAACCGATGAAGCGTTTTTGAATGCTTTAAAGAGATTTGTGTCTCGCAGATGCCTTTGTAATATTTTCTCAGACAATGCAATCAATTGTGTTGGTACACCTCTTTGAGCAATTTAACGTTACACAGTCCGATTTGGTTCAAAATTGGTCTTCAGACATGAAGATCCAATGACATTTCATACTTCTTCGATATATAGATGGTTTACATGACGCAACTGTTGGGTCCAGTAAGTACCATATCAAGCGTATCATTCATAATGTTTTCTTGACTTTTGAGGGATTTTATAAATTTTTGTGACAAATAGAATGCGTTCTCAAGCCCCGGCCACTTCATTATTGACGCATTGCCTGAGCTAGACGTGTGTTGCTAAATAGCAACCTGCTATTTTTAACTGCTATCTAGTGTATAAAATTTTAACCTATGCGATTCAAAATTAGCAGCTATTTGTGTAGCAGTTAAATACTGTGAACTGTGATGACGGGACTATAGACTAGACCGGCGTTAGCAGTGGCGACGCAGACTGAGCGACCGACCTATCGAGCTAATAATGCTAATGTAGGGTTGAGTGCGAATCGAATACTACCTGCGAACTGCGATTTACTACTGCGAATATTGAACACAAACGCTTAATTCAGGGATAAAATTGCACTAACCGTTAACGGATGATTTTTGGGTGTTTTAGTAGAAAATGTGGAATTTTTTAATACTTTTATTATTATGTATTTTACTTTTTTATTATGTTATATCATTGAAAGAGAAAAAAAGAATTTCATTTAAAACAGTTATATGTTAATTACAAAAAAAAATTCCAGAATCTTAAATACTAAAAAAGGTACCTATAGCAAACGAAAAATCCAAAACACAAAAATGAAAAAATATAACATATAAACATAATAAGAAATCACTTAAAATAAATGTTGGTTTGAATTTAAAAACATTATCTTTTTAACCTTTTCTAAACTAATACGGCTTCTTCGCTCTGAAATAATTATTCCAGTTTTTGAAAAGATACGTTCACATTCGACTGCAGTAGAAACTGTACCAAACTTACTTCGAGCAACATGGCTTAAGTTTGAGAAAACTGAAGCACGATTTGCCCACCATTTTAGAGGATCTTCCTATGTAAGATTTCTTCTTCCAGGTATCGGTTAACTTCTACAATGGCACGTGCTTGCGGACTTTGATTAAATCTTGGCTAAGATGACACTGACTTATTTAACTGTTTCCATATATCAAATAACGGCTTTTTAGTTTCTGACTCCACTGTTCTGGATGTACTCTCAGTTGCCACTTCTCCCGCTTCATGTTCACTTATTGTAGATTTTGCTCTTATATTTTGAGTCACTAAGCCAATAACGGCTTCTTTCGCCCTATCAGATGTTCCTGGCTTAAACCTACATGTTTAAATCTGGGATCCAAAAATGTAGATATTATCAATGTATTGCTGGATTCCAAATCACCTAACCTAGATTTTATACTTTCTAGTAGTTTTCCAATGAAATTTCTACTTATTTCATTGGAAAACTGACTACTGCTCATCATCTTTGTAATCCATTGGAGGTGATGATTACTAGGGATAACGTTACATATTTCTCCAGCGACATTAATTCAGTTATGTCATGAAATGGTTTGAGGATCATTATTAGTTCTCTTATGAACGTCCATTCTTCTGTGGGTATTACCGGTAGGGAGATTGAGTCCATTAACGCTAGTGCTGTTCTAATAGGTTCTTCTAATTCAGCAAATCTTTCTAGCATTAAGTAAGTAGAATTCCATCTTGTAGCTATGTCTTTTTTTAATTTCTTTGGTTCCTTACCTTGCTGTCGTTGAACATGATCTAATTTATTTTTAGCATTTGCACTTTGCTTAAAATGTGTCACAATTTTACTGACTTTATTTAAAATGCCTTCTTTGATTAATATTAATGCATCTCCCACTATTAAATTAAGCGTATGTGCATAACATCCAAAATGTCTCAATTTTAAATCAGTAGTGATAGCTTTTTTAATATTTGCGGCTTCATCTGAAATTCCAAGTAAAATCGACTGTTCACATATATTCCAATTTGATATCACTTTTCTAAGATTATCTGCTAAATTTGTGCTGCTGTGACCTCCCTCATATCCAACACATTCCAAAAGGACAGATTTCACTTCTACTATTTATAAAATTCCCTGTTACCGCCATTACACTATCTGTGTTGCGAGATGTCCAGCAGTCAGTTGTTATGGTAATTGATATGACATCCCTTAAAATGTCCGAAACTTTAAGGTGTATTTCTTCAAATATTGCTGGAAGAAGAACCTTGCTTAACGTTTTTCTTGTTGGCAATTTGTACGTCGAATTTAAAGCGTGTATAAATTCTCTAAAACCACTATCTTCTACTACGGAAAATGGCTGGAAATCTTTGATTACGAGATTTAACAAAAGGTGATCTAATTTTATTTGTTGGATCATTGAGATTCTTTTTGGGGCGTATGCTGACTTGACCTACTGTTGTAATTTTCTAACTTCAGATCGAGCCAAACCAATTGCGCCTAATGATGAAGATGATTCACTGGAAGTTGATGGCAACGACGACTCATTATTGATGAACGGGGTGTTGGAGTGTTCTCACTAGAGACTTCACTAGGAGTTGAAGAAGAACCTTCTATAGTTTGAGAACTATTTTGTTGCACATCTCTTCTTTTTTGAAAACGTTCTAGTTGACCCAGTTTCACAGATGGATGTTTTCTAACAATATGCGATTTTAAATTACTAACTGATGTTCTATATGAAAATACACATTTGCATATGTTACATTTTGCTTTGCCGTTATCTTCATCTGAGAAGAAGTTCCAAATTTCGAACTTTTTATTCATGTTTCGACTAAATCTGAGTAGCAGCACCTAATGAAATGTAAAAACAGGGATATCAGTTCCTACTATTGAACTAAATTCCAAATTGATTTTAACTTATTGTCTTCGCTTTTTCAAATTTCAAATGTCTATAATCAAATATTAAATACAGTACAATATAGAATATAACCTTAAACAACAAAATCACGGAACAGAGACACACATAACACAAAATTGGTCGACTCAATCGCCTGGGATTCACCGGCTAGACGCGGCCGGATAGTCTACTCACTCTACTCTCTGGCCGGTGAATCACAGCCGACAAGTGGCGGCCGCAAGACCTAAATTTAATGTGGGCCAGGCGAGCTATATTTTGCGAGATCCTCTGATGGTGCAACAAGAAGGGTTTATAAAGGCGCGAGGCCCTTTGCACCGCAAGGCCGTGAGCGGTGGCCCAAACCGCCCACGCCCTGCGCCGCCTCTGCAGCCCACCGCAAATCGTAAATGGCGCAAATCATATTGAACAAACAAATGACTCCGTCTACATATTCGAAATCCCACAAAATATTAATATATTGTTAATTTTTATTTCAGTTTCTTCTAAATCTTCTAAATTGGTTTGGTTGGAGGCAAAAAAATTATTTTGAAAAAAAAACAAATATATTTATTATGTCTGAGATAAGCAGAAACAAAAGTATACCCAATACAAAAATATATTCCTAACTCTTCAAAAAATCCCACAATGGCAATATTTCAATAGCAGTAAACGAAACTAAAAGATGTCTTTTTCTTATTCAAAAAAAACTCGTAACCTTTGCATTTTCGGGCGGAATGTTTATGTGTACAAAAAAACATTAATCAGATTTTAAGTGCCAACCTGGTTACCCAAACAAAATAGAAATGGATCTCCTCTATTGATAGAGCGACCAAAATACTGCTAAATATTAATTACATCAATCATAACAAAACTTTCAATACCAAATAGCAACTGCTACCAAAATAGCAGCTATTTTTAACTGCTATTTTTATTTAGCAGTAGCAGTAGCAACTGCTATAGCAAAATAGCGAGTTGGACCCATCACTAGCCTGAGCTAGCAGTGCCCGATACCGCTAAGACCAAGATGTCACGATACAACCATTTACGACTGATGTTGCAACACTTCTCGGTGATGTCGCAAGTATCTTAACACTAGCCAAAAGAGAACTAAATGGCACGGTAGTGATTCTTCACCTGGTTTAGTGGGAGCAATGGGGCTCCTGAAGGAAAACAGTTTACCCCCTTCAAGCTGGAAGTTCGGGCGCATCACAGAGCTTCACCCCGTCAGCGACGGCATCGTCCGCGTAGTGTATACGTACCGCTCTTGGTGACACTGAACGTGCGCTAACAAAAGTGTGCGTACTTCCTAATAGGGTTTGACTTAAACCAATATTGTCACAGACACATGTTCACTTGTACATTTACCTGATTTGCAATGCCATTTATTGTTGTATAACTGTGTGCATCTTTAGGAGTAAGAACTTTCAAGGAGGGCCTCTTATGTCCCATCTCTACACTTATATAGGAATGCTTGGAAACATTTATATATTGTTTTCTTATTGAAAAATAATTCAATTGTTATTGTTGAATTTAATGTCATTATTTTTTACATGAAAGTATACGAGTATACATATATTTCAAGTTCTTCATTTATTTTCATCCATTACACACAAAATTACAGTCTACTTATCATCAGTCGTACCCCAGCGGAGAATCGCCGACGGACAAAATCCTGCAGGCTTCTCTGCACCCCACAAGTACTTAACCCTTAACAGGAAACGTGAATTTTTGGAACACAAAAGGAAACATGCCGTCTCTCAGACTGCGAACTTCAAGATGTTCAAAAAATTAGAGTAAGGCGAAAAGCAAGCAATAACTTCGCTGAAACTGATACTGGATGCTTATTTTATGTGTTTAATACGTAAAATGCTCATTTCAAAATGATACAAGAACATAAAAGAAACATTTTTATTAACTATGCTAAAACCATACAAAAATAACGCTGTTGTTGCAACATTCAGAAACTAAATTAAAACTATGGAAAAGTCTCAATATTTTTCTATTTTCTAGTTAAGTAATGAACAAGGAAAGTATATTATAGTCAATAAATACAAAAAGAACACAATCAAAATTCACTGCAAGTCTCAAACATTGCCTATATTTATGCAGCTAATACATTTGGGTTTGGAGCATTGAAGACATACAGGCTTCCTACATTGTACACACAAAAATTTGGTCATCCGATGGGTCGTTCGGTGACATAAAAAGCAGGCTTTCCTTTTTTCCAAAACCAAATTTTCAGCTTCTGTTGCTGGATGTTCACATTTGCCAAGGATGCGATTTATCGTAAGTCGCAAATCCCGAGGTAAACGGGGACTCTCTAGTCCCTTTTCCATATGCTCACGGACCAGGTTAGCGGCCAACATCTTAGCAAATACCGATTTTTCCTTCTGCAATTCATTTTTCTTATAGCACTGGTGTAAAATATACGAGTTCACTACCGATATATCCAATAGTCGGTAGAAAATAACCAGTGGCCACCTACGCGAACGGCGACTTGAGGTACTCTTCGAACATTTTTCATCAAGAGAATCAACTCCACCTTTATTAGCATTGTAATAGGCTATTATTTCCGGTTTCTGTGTTTCCGGATCACAATATTTTCTGTGGTGCATAGAAGATATGAGTATTGTGGCTTTATTTTTTTTGCTTACATGAGACACAATAGTGGAATCTTCTCGAAACCCGTACATTGTTGATCCGACTTCTCTTGATTTGTTGGGTAAAAATGCCGGAGGAATTTCTCTTTTATTTTTCTTCATTGTACCCACATAGGTCAGTTTGTTCTTCAATAGGACATCCATTAATTCTATTGACGTAAACCAGTTGTCCGCTGTAATGTTGCGATTAGTTCCAAACAGAGGCTTCGCGAGACGTAGAACTGATTGTGTGGGTTTAGAATACCGCTTGTGTTCCTCAGGAAGTTCGAAACTATCGGAATCTTTACCGCAGTATATATATGCGTTATAGAGGTAGCTATTCCTTGCATCCGTCAATGCCATAATTTTTATGCCATATTTGCAAGGTTTCGCAGGCATATACATTTTAAATCGACATCTTCCTCTGAAACTCACGAGCATTTCATCGACAGTGACAGACTGGCCAACTCCGTACACATATTGACAGTTCTTTATAAAACTATTAAAAATGAAAGATATTGGTGCTACTGGATCTAGCTTCTTTCTTTCATTCCTGTCATCTGGGTTATCAAACCTTAAGGCTGACAGGAGAATACCAAATCGTTTTATGTTCATGACAGCTCTGAATATATCTCTTCCAGAGCCATCGGTGGCAAAAAGTGTTTCAATGTTCTCGTGGTTGCTGTTGAACACCGATGTATATACTAAGAGACCCAATAGTGCCTTTATTTCGACTAAATCAGTGTCGTTTAGGTTGCTGGTTTGATTTTTGTATCTCTTTCGCATTTCTTTGAGCTTGTGATTGGTCCACTTAACGATATGTACCAACATGTCGTCAGTGAACAAAAGCTGCCAAACCGTCAACGGAGCTGCTTCTTCTCCATATTCATGAGCTTTTCCTCTTAGAGTTGGTACTTTAATGACTATATTGTGCTTCCTTGTACGTGATGATGGTACAACTTCCGAAATATTCCACCTATGACGATTTTTTCCATAGAAATAATTCTGAGCTGGTAAATCCTCTTCATTTCCTTCGGCTCCGTCTTCTGATAACTCACTATCACTTGTATGATCTGATTCCATGTATTCGTCTTCTGAGGCACTGTCTATATCACTAAAGTCACTTCCTTCATCCTCAAACCATTTTAGAACGGTTTCTTCGAACTCCGGATCATCGTATCGTACACGTTTAGAAGGTCCCGCCATACTCGCAAACGCACCTATGCAACACAAATAGCAAACGGGAACGGAAACGTGCCGTCTGACAGACTGCAACAAACTAAAATTGGTCCATATTTTAAGGCACGTTTTGGCTAGACTCGTGTGAATGGGGGTGGGCGATGGTCACTAATAGCTTATGGATTAGATGGGTTTTTACGTCTGTTAGAGGTGCAATAAAAAAAGATACGCTCAGGTATAGAAACGCCGCAGTCTCACAGACGGCACCTTTCCGGTTAAGGGTTAAGCTAAACAAATAATCACAAAAAATCCTACATCCTTACACTTACCATAAAATATATATGCCATAGCAATGTCAATGGACTATCAGGTCTTACTTCCTTACGAAACTTGTTCATCATATTGAAATGAAAGTATGCATTTAAGATAGAAAATACCACTGAAGCTGGTTCTTGCATGCCCAGGAACCTCACAAATGGCCACTGGAAAACAAACGAGAACTATTTTTAGAAGACGATAAAGTATTAGACTGCATTGTATCAGTATCATTCTTATATACTATATCTCGCTACCTCAACAGGTAAACCACCAGATTTGAATTACAAGTTACATTGCTGCCAAACAAGATATTTCATTACAAATCGGATTCCAGCGAAGAATGCTTAAGTAAATATTTTAAAAGTTACAATTGCGTCCTGAAATGTCAAAAACAGTATTCGATAATTTGAGAATTGGCATGTGTAGTTATTCGTAAGTTTATCGTCCCAATCGGCAAATGGTAGTTCAAATTGCGAACATGTCACTCCATTTTGATAACTGATTGGATTCGCGTCTTTAAAGCAATAAAATACCGACCAGATGGCGGAAGCGGCACCTTTGAGACAGTTATCGATACGGAAGCTATAGTCAATTCGAGACGGTTACAAATTTGTCGTAAATTAACTGCAAAGTGTTATAAATTAGTGTTAGAGTAATAAATTAGACCTTAAACAGTAAAACGGCGTTTTCATTACAGTGGTAGTCCGGTGTACGGGTTAGTGAAAGTACGTGCGCGTATTGGGAAGGCTGCTACACACAGTGCCGCCGGCTAAGCCGCCGTACACCCGGCGGCATACAAAGCCGCCGGACTTGCCGCGCAAAGGAGCCGCCGTGGTGTGCCGGCGGGTTACGCGGCTTGCCGGCGTCACTTCCTTCCTGGCATTCGAGCGGTAGTGTTGTGCGGTTTGTGTGTTTAAACAAATTAAAATGTCGTTTAATTGGGACGACGAAGCTGTGCTGCTCTTTATTGAAAAATTTCATGAAAATGATATATTATGGAATCCCAGAAATGCAGCACTTCACTAGCTTTCTATGTGACTGTTACAACCGGAATGATGCTTGACGGCTTTGCGCGGCTTGTATTGCCGCCGGCACTGTGTGTAGCAGCTTGGAGTGATTTTAACCATTTTAGAGACTGAATCCTAAGTATATCGAGAGATACTTTAACCATTTTAGAGACTGAGCTGTGCGCCTATCGGGAGTGACTGTTTTGAGTGACCTTGAACACTTATTATCGCGATCGCTTCGTCGTCTGTGTGCTTATAGAGACAATGCCTGTGAAAAAACTGTGCAAACTGAAAGTAGTGGAACTGAGAAGGGAGCTAGAGGATGCTGAGATCGAAACGATGGGATCGAAGGCGTCTTCGGGACTACTTAGAGGGGAAGATCCAGAGATCTTCGAATTCGAGGTTCCAGGCTGCGTCGTCGCCACGCTGAGGAAAGAGAACTAGGCCCTTTCTCAGATTATGGCTGATACTACTAGTGCCCTGAGGGAAGAGAACCAGGTCCTGTCGCAAATGCTGAGGGAGTAGTATCAGGCCCTTACTCAGAAACTGGACGGCACTAGTCGCGCCCTCCAGGAAGAAAACCAGGTCCTCACAGATAAGATGAATCACATAACCCATGCCCTCAGGAATCATTGCAGTCGACAGTCTTGGTGTTTTCACTTTCGCTATGGTCGCTTCTGGTGAGAGATGGTACTTTGTGCTGTTTTATTAAGATCAACATAGGTGATGCAAATATAATCCGACAACAGAAGACCCACGGAGAAAAAGCGAAAGGAAGCTTTTAAGATAGTCGAGCCGTTGCACTAAGGAGCATTTAAGCTTGAAAACCGGTCAAAAATCTTTTATGCGTTCTTTATCATTAAAAATGAATAAAAATGCATGTGTAGTTAAAAAAAAGGAATATATTCATTAAAATTAGTAAAAAAGGCAAAATTATTAAAAATTATTTCTATTCAGTTTTGGACTTTATGTATAGTCTTAAAAAAGACTAGTCCTATTCATTCCTATTCAGCATCAGTTTGCACTTCTTCGTCACTTGTTACATTTAGATCTTCCGCTTCTAAAAGAGCGAGCGTTTCCGTTGAGAACCGTTGTCTTTTTACTTGCTTCCTTTTTCGCACGCAACTTAGAAAAGGGTCCGATGTGAGTAATAGTCTGTTTAAAACATCTTGGTTGCACTGCGTTCTGGAAAATTTCCTGCCAAAATCTGTTCCATAAGATCGATAATGCTTGTTGCGGGCTTCTGCAGCCTCCTCCGACAATTGCCCGATAGGCAAGATGGCATGTTTTATAACTGTAGAGCCATGCACAAGGATTTTGTGTAGGGTTGGTGTCATTGGGTGCCATCCGTAGAGGTTGACATACAGGTGTGCAGTTTCTTCACAGTATTGCTCAAATTTTTGAATGTTTATTTTGAATCCAGAAGATATTGTTTCTAAAATAGTCTTGACTTTTTTTATGAATTCTATGTCAATACCGGTTATTTCTGCAGCCAGGTCTGGGTCACTAAAAAACCTTCTTGAAGTGTTCCCCGAATTGGAGTTTCCATAACCGGCTTTTGGCATGTCTATAATCAAACCAGTTTTTTCCCTATATTCCTTATAGATTCTGTTTTTGTTTTCTTTTACGACTTTTTTTTCTTCATCTGTACGAGCCTGCCATTTCTGTAGAGGAAGTTTGTAAGATACGTGTAAAATAGTTTCGAATAAACGTATTCTCGCATGTAGAGTGGACAAGCCGAATCGTAATGATTCGGGATCTTCAGCACTTTTATTTTTTAAATTGTTGAAGTCTTTGGATGTTTTGCCACATATGTAGCAACGCATAGTAGATGTTGTGCCGGTTACCGCATTGCACACTTTAGCATCTACCATTGTGGGAATTAAGGTATGTCGCACATCAATGTCTCCCTTTGAACATAAGTTTGTTATTTTCGTCACAACCAGTTCTTTAGCTTGATCCTCGACGTATTTTATTTCCTGTTTTGTTACATCCACGGTTTCGTGTAAAAACTGAATACGTATGGGCCGGCAGAAACGCGTGGATGAGGGTGTAGGATTTTGCCATAAAATTTTGATTACCTCTTCTTTGTGGTATTGCAGCCTCAGTGGAACCAAAGAACTTTGGAATAGATTGGCATCGTCGCGTGAGCTATCGGTAAACTTCTGTTGAAACTGTTTCTGTTGCGAACCATCACATCCCCATTTTATTATGAGTTCTAAATTCTTTAATTCCGACTCAGCCAAATGTTCGAGCGCTTCTTTTAGAAAAAGACAAAGTCTTGTAGCAGTGTGGTCGACTAGATCCTGAAGTATAACTTCGGCACCCGTTTCAGTAACTCGCATTGACTCTTCTTTCGGATAACAAACTTTTTTTGCCTCTCTGATAAGAGTGTAACAAGGAAACACGCCTTTATTTGATTCATGTAGTAGCTCCCACTGACTCCTAGTAAAATCGCCTTCAACAAATATCGATAATGCCTCTTCGGGTGTGTACTTCTTGATTTTTGTATTTCGAGCCATTGCTAAGGTTTTTTTATACTTGTTTGCTCTTGTTGGCGTACAAGTAACATCTCTTATGATTTTAGATGCTGAGGCATTTCCTGACATCCGCTGACTAACGCTAGCTGCATACGTTAGCTCCTCGACAGAAACTTGTTCCCGAAGTTCCTTTGTTTTACGCCGTTTGCTTCGATCTGACAGATCCTGAAAGTCCTTATTTGGCCGACCTGGCTTAGTAGGAGTACGTGTCCAATTATGTACTGATATTGAAACTTTAAGCCATTCGTCGTTATTTTTAGTGAATCGTTCCTGAATATAGAATGCCGACTTCCATCTCTTCTTTAGTTCTGATTTGAAATGCCTCAAGTCGTAACTTATAGTTTGGAATTCCTCTTGTGGACATTTTGTTAATTCCCGAACTTTATTTTCCACGAATAACAATTTCTCATCTAATTTTCGCGCTGAACTCTCTTTAAAAATGTCAAATAGAGATTTCCTTGTCAATTGAATTACATTAGATGGTGCATCTGTAACAAATTAGAAAAAAAATTACATTAATAAAAAAAACTGAATTTCGCCTCTGTCATTAAAACTGATGTTTTACCGAATTAGTGGAAATATGTGGAAAATAAAATTGTTCTGCAAATAAGGTGGAACTCTAACCTTTATTATAACAACAACTACGTAACTCGATCGGACTCGTAGATACGACAAAAATACCAATTTGTTGAAAAAATTATGTAAAAAAAACAATAATTACGCATGCCCTTAAAGTACAAAAAAATAAGATAAATATCTTAAATTCAAACTAATTATGGATTAAAATTAATAACATACCTGATTTTTCACTATCCATGACAAAATTTCTGATAATTTACTTCAAATACAATAAAACAACAAACGATTGATTGTCCGAAATGAGAGCGTGTCGATCACATTGACATGCACCGCGTACTGGGACTGGGTTCCGACTACCTGCTCGCCGAGACGATGAGTTACGATTTCGTTTGAAAACCGGTTTACGATAGATCAGTTACTTGACAACAACAAAAATGCGACTTGGGTGGAATAGGGCTCAATTTATATTTTGAACTTTTGACCGATTTTTAAGCTTAAATGCTCCTTAGTGCGTTGGAGCAACGAGTACTATCCAGTAGCCAATGGGCGCCACCTATTGTGTTGGTGAAGAACGTCACTAAGGACAGCTATCCGTTGCCACGTATTGATGACACGTTGGATGTGCTGCTTGGGTCTGTCTTCTTTTTAATGCTGGAATTGAAGAGTGGATACAGGCAAGATTGAATGGACCCTGCCGATCGAGAGAAGACTGCATTTACAATAATTGGTTACGGACTCTGGCAGTTTACTCAAGTGTCAGCTAATGACAGAAATGTCATATCAGATACGTACACGGGAGTCAGATAATAAATCGAAATGTGTGTGGAGCATTGTAAAGGAAATAAAAGGACAATATAGAGATCATCGAGTTATAACAGGTGGTCCCGAAGTCATGGCAGCTGCTTATAATGAATCAATGAAATAAAAATAAAATATTGCCACAGACACCAGTACCTGACTCTTCTGACTTTCTAGACCATGTGCAACAGTTTATGCCGCTAGAACATGTAAGTGATCCAGAACTACTAGAGCTGGGCT